TATAGCTTGGTTAGTCCTAGAAAGATCTGCCTATCCAGACCTTCATTTAAACCAATGTTTCTCAACTTCAACATTTTTAAAATGTGTGAATTTCAACTCCTAGAATTCCTCATACAGTATTGAAGTCCAGACATCTTAAAGTTGGTTCACATTGATAAACACTATGGCTAAAGTATCTGAAACATAATTTATATCCATAATTTGTTATAAGCTTCCTTACTTTAGTCATGGGTTCATTTGATTTTGGGACCCATGGGCAGCAGGGGGGCAGATTTATTGAAAGTTTCTCCTAAAAGTGTTGAAGCATCCGTCTTGGAATGCCTCCCCATCTTTGAATGTCTTCAAGGGCAGCTGATCAGTTATTTACCAAATTGTTGTAGGTGTATTCCCACAATCAAAGAGGATAACTGGGGGAAAGTCCCCAGGCAGACTCACTGAACCTTTTTGAGGATCTGGCTATTTTAATGCTTATTCTGAATGAACACACGGTTCTCATAATCATTAGACATGATAGACTACAGTACAAGCTGATTTAATCTGTCTTTAATAAGGACTCTGTAGATGAGCTGTAATGGCATATGGTTATACAAAAAAGCAGATGGCTTGTTTTGGGCAGAAAGCACATTAGAATGAATTCCCTGAGGTTTTTTGTGAATGACACGATAAAACAGATGTCAGCCCAGAAGGCATCATAGAGCAGTGACCCTCTGAGATGCATTTTATGATTGGGAGAGAGAAGGAAGTAATATTTTGAGACACTTTTACTGATCAAGAAAGGATGAGTGATTGTGAGTTATCGCTTCTGCCTTCTTCCACTTAGTTTTTTGGAGATAAATAGTATCTTCAAATGCATTGATAAGTGCACATGAATCATACTGCAGCAAGTAACATTTACTTTCTAAACATTTTAGTCTTTTATATCTAATATGGGTACTCTAGTGATTCACATTTGTACATTTGTAAATTATAAATTTATAAACGCCTATTTTCATTTAGGAGTTCCCAAGCACACTCCTTTGAAGGTACTGTGGCAAATTCACTGCCTATTTTTGTCTGACCAGCAAGGGAAAACTATTCCTGACTACTTTGATTTGTATAATTATAATGAAGAAAAAAATGCCATAAAAACTTTAAATATGTGTTCAAAGATCCATTGATCTGGTGATGGAGGACAGCAAACGAGAGTTAATGTTCAGTATCCACTTCTCTCATCACACTCATGTCTATAAAAGCATTTAGTGTTATTGTGGTTTAAACATCTTCTTTCCTGTACTTGTTACTATATCCATTAGCATTTCTGTTGTGTAAAGTCTAGTTTCGTAGTAAAGCCTTACTGAGAAGCTGCTAATACTCACCTCTCTATTGTTATGTATATTTCTGTCTGGCAAAGTACAAATAGAATATGCATTTTAAACTCGGAAGCTTTTACTTACGGATACCCATAGATATAATTATTGAGGTGCTATAAAGAGTTTGGAGTAATGGCTCCATTATATTGCAATTAAATATAGAACTGTTTCTTTAGGAGAAGAGCCATCATGATATCGAAATTCAATGGCACTTCTCCTGGGGAGTATTAATGAAAGGAAGATGGTTTTCTACCGATTCCTTGTTTCCTTTGCATATGCTGTCCACCAGCCAGCATATGTTCTTCCTTGCAATGTAAGACATATTTATAATTAAACTCTAAATGCTCTAGAATGACTTCAAGGACAACAGATTTAGAATTAGCCAGGGCATGCATACGCTTTATTGATGTGTGGATATATTTAAAGTTTAGCTGATCAAATCACCCTTTTTATGATTAGATTATCATTTTTGTATGGAAAAATGAGTGTAATACACAAAGCTATAGATTTGCTAGTTTTGCCTTGCAAATGGTCTTCCTCACATTGTATTAAAACACCTGCTTTGGAAAAAATGTAATTTGGAATCTTACTTTTAGTTTTGGATTCTGTTCAGTTGTTAAACCCAAATAAAAATTATCCCAAATTATCTGGGAAAAATCTTCCATTGTTGATGACCTCAGAGCTATGAAAATGTTAGGATTGCATTTCCATTTAGGATGTAAATGTATGTATATATAGGTACTGTATATATATAGATAATCTGTCTTCTACCCAAACTGAAGGTGATTTATTAAAGAATGCATTAACTTTTTTTTTAAAGGTGATATGAAACATATGGATGCATTTAGAGAATTAGGAAAAAAGAAGTAGGTGAAACAACATGACAAATTCCATTGGCAGACATCAAAGTGATTGTTTAAGCTCACTTTAAACTCATGACAGCACACTTCCTCAATTCATTCTGTATTCCTTTGGTCATCTTGCATGTCACTCAGGGCACTTGCTATGCAGCACCATGCATCTGCTGATGAATTCATTCAGGGCATTGAAAATCCCGGCTTGAAAAGATAAATGGCAATCAAAACAGCTAATGCAGACAGTTTACAAATTTCACATGAAATCACTGGAATGTTTAACTTTTTTTAATCTCTCATGCTGTGTGTCTATTCATAGTTTTGAAAAAATCTTTCTTCTGTCTACCCTTCTCCCATTTCTGATGCATGAGCTATTTTTTTGTAAGGAGTGAAATGATGATGATGATGATGAATCAATCAATCAGAATACAGCTGGAAGGGACCTTGGAGGTCTGATAATCCAACCCCCTGCTCTAGCAAGAGATCCTATACCATTTCAGACAAGTGACTGTCCAGTCCCTTCTTAAAAACCTCCAGTGATGAAGCTCTCACATCATCTGAAGGCAAGCTCTTCCCCTGGTTAATTGTTCTCACTTTTAGGAAGTTTCTCCTTAATTCCAGGTTACTTCTCTCCTTGATTAGTTTCCTTTGTTTCTTTTTTCCATTGTTTCTTGTCTTGCCTTCTGGTGCTTTGGAAAATAAGTTGACACTCTTCTTTGTGGCAACCTCTCAAATACTGGAATACTACTGTCATATCCCCCCTAGTCCTTCTTTTCTCTAAACTAGCCATAGCCAGTTCCTGCAATCGTTCTTCGTATGTTTTAGTCTCCGGGACTAATCATCTTAGTTGCTCTTCTTTGTACTTTGTACTTTTTTCAAAGTCTCGACATCTTTTTTGTAATATGGTGAGCAAAATTGGATGCTGTATTTCAGGTGTGGTCTTACTAAGGTTTTATAAAGTGGTAGTAATGCTGATGGAAATGATTATGATAAAAATAATATTCTTAGGAATAGAAAAGACCTAGCCTAATTTTCATTATTATATAAAACATACTGATGCATCTGATAGGTGAAAGCATGTGGAGCAGACTCCACAATTTGGTAGAAGAATTGTTCTAATTTGTTTAACTAGCAGTTGCTTCAAGAGAAAAATCAAAATTGGGCATTCTTTCCTTCTTTTCTGATTTAATGAATTGTTCGTTCCTGATTTTATGGTTGCAAACTGATATGCATTAACCTGCCAATAAGCCTCATGAGACTCAGTGAAATCATTCTCTCTATAGGTATGCAATTGGATAGTAATACTATAATCTAATTCTGTCTATACTTATTCAAAATGAAAGTGTGTTAAATTAAATTGAACTTTCTTTGTAATATGCATGCATAGGTTTGCTGCCTGACGTTGCAATCCTATTTTCATTTATAAAAGAAGTAATATATTCCATTAAACACACTGACGCTTACAATGTGTTATATTTCACCAATTATATACTGTACTGTATCAGGCAACCAACCTAGTAGTTTTTCCTTATAAGTAAATATCCCAAACTTGGAAGATTTGGGGGTTTTTTCCCTTCATCCCTGTATATAAGGAGATGAATTTGAGAAAATAAGCAGCTGGAAGGGGGATTTTAAACCTCCAATCAGCATCTGAATTAAACTATCATGAGGCCGCTTTAGAGGAAATAAAAACAAAAATCAGGTGGAAACCATGCTGAAAAGTATGAAGCATAATTTAATTCTAAACTTCTTGGATTTGCTTTGCATACATCTAAATTTTTCAATATTTTTCTAGTATAATTGGATTATTTATTTGTTTGTGTTATAGCTCACCTGTTGTTCAAGAGTTCAAGATGACACTTTGCTCCAACAACGATGTGAGTTAGGATATAAATGAGAGAGAATGACAGGCCCAAAGTCACCTCCTTCCATGTTTTTCCCAGTGTCTGACCAAGAAGCACTCCAGTCTTATAATTGAGGATCTTTTGAATATAGTTTAATCTCTGAACAATCTTGTCTTATATTCAGTGCCCCCCATTACTGGCTTAAAACAACATTTCCATTGTATTTAAGCAAATGATAATATTCCTAGTTTAGTCATCAATTTCTAAACAGTGTTTCCCAAACTTGACAATTCTAAGATGTGTAGCTCAACTCCCAGAATTCCCCAGTGAGTATGCAGGAATTCTGGAAGTTGAAGTCCACACATCATAACATTGCTAAGGTTGGGAAACACCATTCTAAGGCGACATGACTGGTGAAAATAAGCTGAAACTTTTCCTTTTGACTGCTCCCTTTTTAAACTACCCCTTTCATTTATATAAAGGTAGCCTACTGGAACATAGATTGTTTCCCATCGGTTGTGATTTAGACAATGTTAAGTATTTTTTTCAATGAAGGTGCAAGACCACATTAGTGGACTGCATTTTTTTAAAAAAAAAAAAAACTTATTTGAACACTTGAAGACATAAGAGAGCCTAAGGAATTAATAAGAAGTGATTGATTTTTGGCATTCATTAAGAAAATTATATTCCTCTTTTTTTTAACGTGTGATTTCTCCAGAAAATTGCCTCCAATTTTAGATGATTTATTTAAATCAAATTACAGTGAGGAATTAATGAAGAAGACCATAATATCAATTGCCCGATATACAGTATTTTGTTTCTCTTTTCCTGGTTTGAAAACCAAAAAAAGCAAATAATAACATTCAGGTTTTCTCATTGGTTCTGCAATTCACAAAGTTTTTTCTTAAATAAAAATATGCTAATCAAAATTCCACTTGCTATTTTTTTTCCAGCTCTCGTAAATGTGAAACTTTGGGCTATTGATCGGCAATGTTTCCAAACAATCATGATGAGGACTGGCCTTATCAAGCATACAGAGTATATGGAATTTTTAAAAAGGTATGGGACTGGATTATGTATTTGTCTTTTGGAAGCACACACTACATTTATTACCGTGCTTGGAGAATTTTGTATATATATTTTTGTCTTGTAGGTGGGGGGGGGCTTGTGAATGAGTACTCATTTATATTCCTCATTTTTAATTTGCTCTTTTAATTACATGAATTGCATAAGAGCTGGAAAATAGGGTGCAGTGACTGAAGATCTTAGCTTCATTACTGCTTGCCTTTTATCATAGTAGCTATTCCTCTTAAGGTTGGTAGATGAAAAGTAAGTAACAGAATAAATACAGCAATCATAGAAAGAGCAATTTTTGCAGATCCATTAGGAATTTCTCTTTTAAGAAAAGATTTATTCAAGATATAGAATAATTTTGTCTCTTAAAAACATAGCATGGCCTAATGCTTTTTAAAATAATATTTAATAATAATATACTTTAAAAGTATGTATCTCTGAGATATAGTATTTCTGTTTGCTTTGGGGATGTACAAAATGGAACTTAAATGAATTAGAAAAGAGATTTATTGATGCGTATTTTAATTTTATTAAATTTGAATTTAAGTCCCTTGAAAAGGATTCAAGTAGTTCTGATTTTCCTAATGCAGTATCAAATCTCCTTTAATTAAAAGTTATTAAAGGCCAGAACTATAAGCTCCTTCATTCAAAAAAGAAAAAGAGTGCTACTTTAGGTAGCCAACAGTCATTCAGGTTGTCTACTCTAGGTAACAGAATTCACATTGTTTTTCAGTCCTTAACTAAACTTTCTATTACTGCATTCATTGGGGGGGGGGGAAGCAATGTTTTGAATGAAGATTTAATTTGCAGAAACCATTCCCAAATTAAGTTTAAAAAATTTGCTTAATTTTAGAATTAGGAATTCAATTTAATTTATGGATAGGCATATCTTGTGCATGAAAGGTTGATGACTTATACTCTTCTGTGGAGTTGTTAGGCAATATGTTTCATTGAAATCAGCGTGCTGCACTCCGTTTTTGTCTTAAATCTAATTCATTGTATTGTATTTGAGACTGCTCTTTAATGGCATTGAAAAAAGTGGGGATATTACAGAGCACTGGTGATACTATCAATTTCCTGCTCTTTTTTTTCTTCCAGTTGTTTCTTATAGACATGCAGACAAACAGATGACAGACAGACAGGCACACCATACATCTCTATCCCTTGGCTTTTGAATTGTTTTTATTCAAGAATAATCATCACCAATATTTAGTATATAACTATAGTAGTTACTATCTCCTTAGTTCTCATTTTGTCTCAGCCTTGGTCAATGGTGGAAAAATGGAAAGAGGTGGAATGATTGAATATACTAATTAAGTTATTATCTTGTCTCCCTATTGTGGAAGCAGCAGCTGATAATTACTTAAGTTGAGCTAGGTTTCCATCTCTCTCTGAAAGAGAAATGATGATGCCTGTGGAATCTATGCTCATTATTTAGCAAAGATCTCAAGAGGATGCTATTTTAAAGTTGTATTGTGAAATGTGCATCAAATGAAGACAAAATAAAAACAAACCCTCTTCTATTTGTATGTTGTACAAGATAGGATAATCAATCCATCTCTTTTAGTTAAACTTCTCTTTATCAAAGGATCTATGGCGTGTCAAGTTTAGGGATGGATGGATCGATCTGTTTCTATCTTTTTCAGTTCATTCATAAGACACCACTTCTGGCCTCTTTTACATCAATCTCTGAATTACCAAATGCATGAATGTCTTCAATGGATACCAATTGTGCTTTTTTTCCACTGAGAAAACAGCATGAAACAAAGGGAAAGGAAAACCTCCCATGCCCTCCAAATCTATTTTGGTTTGAATGGTAACTGTTAAGTCCGGAGAATAATGGCGCTTGAGACGAAGCATCTCCAACAAGTCTTTATTGTTTGCTTCCATTCTACGAACAACCAGAGCAGAGGCACACAGGCCTCTATTTATACTTCTGATCCCAAGGCAAGTTCAACCAATCATGAGGCGGGCTTTTCCCACCTTGCNTAATATAATTAATGATGAGTTAATGTTACACAATGTATAAGGTGTGGGACTGTTCCTTTGAACCAGATCCAGTGGCCCCCGACCTTGTTTTCTTAAAGACAACCAGCCAGTACTTTTAGGTTAGCTATTGCTATGTACCTGCTCACCTTACGTAATCGGCTAGGTATTTGGGAGGGCCTCTTACCCTGAGCGACCTTCTCAGACTTGGAGAGTTTGTATTATTATCCCTGTTGCTGCTTGCACTAGGTGAAGTGCCCTGTGCATGACCAGTGACTTCAGCTTGACTGTCCAGCCCGTCTCCTGTATTTGACTGTCCAGCCCGTCTCCTGTATTTGTTGGTCGCTAAACCTGGTTGACCTACCCTCAATGGAGTTGTCAAACCCCTCTGAGTTCATTCCCGTGTTTCCTGAAGGAGTGTGGGTTTCCTGGCTCGTTTCTGTAGTGCTAGGGATTAGGGATGCCTCCCTGTTAGCCCTGATGCATGAGGACATCCTTCTCTGAGCCCTTTCAGCAAGGGACGTATTTCCCTTTTGTATTGCCTGCTCTCTTGCATGTTGTGAGTTGTGAGTATGCTCCCAGGTATTCTCCGTGTCTGGAGTATTGTTTGTTGGGGGTGGATAATTAGTCTGCCACCAGTGGGACTCCCAGGCTGGAGTGTGTGGGGGGGTGTCTATGTACTCCCTTTCCCAAGAACTGCTACCTGAAGCACCTGTGGAAGTTGGGTGTTGAGTACTTGTTTCCCTTCCCACAGCCAACGTAGGCTGTTGATTTTGACTCTCAGAATGCATTTCCCAATCCTCCTCCCCCCCAGAGGAGACTGAGAAGGAACCATAGGCGAGTCCCACCTCACACGTAATTGATCAATGTGGCGGCGAAGTATGCGGCCGTCTGTCAGGGACACCTCGTAGGACAGAGGCCCCGAGACTTTGCAGACCACAGCCGGTACCCAGAGGTGGCCAGGCCCGTAATTCCTGGCTCAGACAGGATCGCCTTCACGTAGGACCCGTGGTGGGTGTGGCTGAGACACCTGTGCAGCTACACGTTCTGGATGCAGCCTGTCCAATTTAGTCACGAGCCGACGACCCCAGCGGAGTTCGGCCGGGCACTTACCCGTGGCAGTGCACGGAGTAGTACGATGTGCCAAAAGAAAGTCAGCCAACCTGTGATGCCAGTTGCCGTAAGTCAGCT